CATTTGTAACCCTATACAGAATCTTTTTTCATAATTGATTTCCACTCTAGTTTTCATGATAGCTCTATTTTGTAAAGATGTAAATTAAATGGGGAAGTGAGGCAACATGCTATAGCTTAAAAACTAGCAAGCGGTGGACTTAAGATTTGATCTTATGTCTTCTAGCACTGAGTTGTTATGTAACATTCACTCTATCACATAAATTCTGCACATGAATCTAGGATATCAGTAAGAAAGAGATTGTTTAGCACTACCCAAGGATGTTTGGACTTAGTTTGAGTGGGCTGTGGACTTAACATCAGAGGTTTTAATTCTCTACTTCTATAATGGCTCTGATTAATGGATTTCTCTGAAAGGAACATTTTTTGACATCCAGATTTGTTTTAGACATTCCATTATGTTCCTCTGAAATAAAGTAGTACATGTTTGTCCAGTAACACCAAAACAGATTTTTCAAAGAAAGGTTTTTAAAATATATATATATATTTAAAGATTTATTTTATTTATTTATGCATATAATAACTGGGATATAGGCCAGAAGTGTTGCGGGTGAAAGGATTCACCAAAGACAGAGTGGGGAGCAAAACAGGCAGATTTACTGAAGGACACTGCTGAGAGGAGCAGTTAGTGAGACAGGAGAGGTCTGCTGTGGCATGTGGGTCAGTGCCTTGGCCCAGGATGGAACCCATGTTGCATTGGCTGGCAATAGCTTGATAGCACTGAGACATTAACCCCTGTACCACTTTGAGGTGCCTTAAAATAGTTTTATCTTAAAAAAGTCATTTTTATTGGTATGATGATCTGTAGCTGCTATCTCAGCTATTTTAGATTCTAGTTGTTTTTTCACTTAGTTTCTCAGTTGACTGCCAAACAGCAGCAATTGAATAGGGTTATTAATTGCTACAAGATCGTATATTTCTTAGTTTTGTTTTGAAGGACAGGCTATGCTCATTTTTTTCTTCTTAAAATTTTATTAGCTCACCAACCTTATTTTGTACAAATTGAAAGTGGCATTTGTACCCTTTAATTTCTTTTAAGATTTATTTATTTATGCATACAAGAACTGGGGTACAGGCCACAGATGTGGGGGGTGAGAGGACTCACCAGAGACAGAGCCTGGAACAGAATAGATAGACCGACTGAAATACACTGCTGAGGCAAGCAGAGGGTGAGGCAAGAGAGGTCTGCCGCGCCATGTGGGTCACCTTCCTGGCTGGCTGGGGATCGAACTTGTGCTGCAGTGGCTGCGGACAGCTTCACAGTGCTGTGCTCAACCCCTTGCACCACCAGGGAGGCACTACTCTCTAATTTGTACTTGCACAGTGTAGGCAAAATGGGTTAAAAGTTTTGGATACTGATTTCTAAGGTATAAAGCAGTTTTTTCCCAACCACCTTTAGCTCAGAGTTTGTAGAGTTATCTTGCAAAGGACTGGTAAATAGTGTAGGCTTTAAGGGACACATGGACACATTACTATAACCAACAGTGTCACTGCAACATTGAAGGAGCCAGAGACAAGATGGAAATGAATGGGCATGGCTTTGTTCCAGTAAAAGTTTATTTATGAACACCATGATTAGAATTTCATATGAGTAACCATCTTTTTGAAACAATTAAAATGATTTAAAAGAAATTTAGTTCTTGGTCCAACCACTATGGAAAGCTGTGCGGAGGTTCTTCAAACTATGAAAAATGGAGCTACCATAGGACCCAACAATTCCATTACTAGGAATCTACCCAAAGAACACAAAAACATTAACTCAAAAGGATACATGTACCCCTATATTTACTGCAGCACTATTTACAATAGGCAAGATGTGGAAACAACTCAAATGCCCAAAAATAGATGACTGGATCAAGAAGATGTGTATGTGTGGATGTATGTGTATGTATGTGTATCTATACACACACACACACAATGGAATACTACTCAGCAATCAATAAAGATAAACTCATGCCATTCACAGCAACATGGATGGAACTGAAAGGGATTATGCTCAATGAAATAAGCCAGAAGAAAAAAGAAAATTATTGGATGATTTCACTTATAGGAGGAATATATGGGAACCAAATAAGGGCATGCGTGAGAAAATATAATTATAATAAATAAAAAAAATAACAGGCAATTATAAATCAGAGACATTCTGCTGGGGTGGGGGAGAGGGATCAGTACTGGAGGGAAGACACATAGGATATGGTGGTGGTGCACGGGTGAATTGGAGGTGAGAATTTTACGGGACTACACCTGAGAGGAGAAAGCACATTGTACAAAAATGAAGAATGATGTAAAATATATATAAATAAAATAAATAAATATAAATAAAAATTCTTAGTTCGCATGTTTTACTAAAGCAAATTGTGTGTTGGATATGACCCTGGGCTGTGGTTTGCTGAACCCTACATTAGGCACATCTTTTTGTGAGACCTGAAAGGACACTCCCTAGGAGAGATGCCTTGTATATTTATTACCACTGCTTTAAAAAAAGTGACTTAGGCCTCCCTGGTGGCACAAGGGGTTAAGCACTGCACTATGAAGCAATCCGCAGCTTCTGCAACATGAGTTCGATCCCTGGCCGGCCAAGGAGAAACCACATGGTGCAGCAGACCTTTCCTGACTCTCCCACTGCTCCCCTCAGCAGTGTATTTCAGTCAGTCTGCCTGTTCTGTTCCCCACTCTGGCTCTGGTGAATTTGCTCACCCTCCACATCTCTGGCCTGTACCCCAGCTCTTTCATGCATAAATAAATCTTTAAAAAAAAAGACTTAACTGAGGTATAATTCATGTTAAAAATTGTACATTATTAATGGATATAACATGATAAATATGCTACTTTTGAACAGAAGAACAGAAGATTATATATAAACTGTTATTTATTGTGAATTTATTCTACTGGGTATTTGCATAGGCTTCCCAAGGTAGAATTTTCAGATTGCTGAGGACATGGAACTATCTCCTTCCACTCCATGTCATCTCTGTTGGTTTCACTATAGTTAAGTAAATAGACTACTGAGAGAGCTTATAGCAGCACCTTAATCTGTTTCATGACACAGCAGAACTGATTTTTGAATCTAGAGACATCTTGGCTACGAATTTTATTCTTAATGATTAAGGAACTTGAGACCAATGTAAATAGCTACAAGAAAGGCATGCACTTTATTTTCAAATATTCAAAATTCCAGGCACAAAAACAGTGACTTAGCTACATAATAGTATCAACTAGAAAAACTATAAATTCCTAACACCTAAAGGACAACCCGAAACAATTAAATGAAAATTTTTGGAGGTAGAATTCAATCAGGCATCAGTAGTTTTTCAAACTCCTTAGGATACTCAAAGAAGGCTGCTATGTTCAGAAGAACAGAACTGTGTCTGGAAAGCATGCATGGCTTGTATGAAATAAAAGCAGCTGTTTATGTATATATGTATATGTACCTAAACACACTGTCAAGATCCAAGACTGTGTTTTCCAATCAAAACAATTTCTGTTCAAAACTAGATTATTTCAACAACTCAAATGCCCAAAAATATATGACTGGATCAAGATGTGGTGTATATATACACAATGGAATATTACTCAGCAATCAAAAAGATACACTCATGCCATTCGCAGCAATGTGGATGGAGCTAGAAGGAATTATGCTCAGTGAAATAAGCCAGAAGGAAAGAGAAAAATATCGGATGGTTTCACTTATAACCGGAATATAGGGGAACCAAATAAGACATCAGAGCAAAAAAAACCAAAAAAACAAAAAAAACAAAAAAAAAAAAAACAGTACAAAACACAACAAAGCAAAAACAGACAATTATAAACCAGAGACATCCTGCAGGGGAGGAGGAGGGAGAGGGATCAGAGGGAGGGAAAGAGGAGCACAGGGAACTGAGGTGATGGTACATGGGTGCCTTGGGGAAGGAAATTCTATGGGGAATCAATCTGAGGGGGTGGGGGGAAAGCAAATATTGTCTAAAAAATTTAAAAAATGATAAATGTTAAAGTAAATCAATAAATGAAAACTAAAAATAAATAAGTCAAAAAAAAAAAACACCCTAGATTATTCCATATCTAGAAAATCAGGGAACACTGCAAGGAGTTTGAATTTAAGTATACTTTTATGTTACACATGACTATCTGTCTTTCTACTTGAAACCATGGTCAGAAACTCTTGCAACACCCAAGCCTCCCTCACACGAGTGATCACAGAATGCTGATTGCTCTGCGCGTCCTGCTTCTCCCCCTCCTTCTTTCCACAATCTTTTGCCAGCTGGTTTTTGCAAGACCAGCAGAGCCTGATCAGTAGGACTAGGTTGAAGCAGATTCTAATAGGTTACTGAGCAGTTCTGGTCTAGGGTGTACATGTCGACCTCAGAAGCCACTGGAAATAGCTTTAGGGTGGCAAACCATCTGCAAACCCCATGAGACCCATGAAGAGGAGATGTAATTGTCAGTGTTTTATTGGGAAATTCTTATTAGGAATATTCTCTCCTCTCTTCCTTCACTTTGCACGCTAATTCCATTAAAGATCTATCACACTAAGAGTCTGCTACCTTTGTCTTAATGCAGCAGATGGCAGGACCCCATTTTAAGGCAAATACACCATTTGATCAGTATCCCTGGGTGTCCCCTGGTTGTGCACTAACAGAGTCAAGATAGGTGAGGTTACAAGCAAAGCAGCAGTTAGGACATAATTATAACAGGATACATGGAAACAGGAGAGGGACGATTCAAGATGTTTCACTAGGAATGAAGCACATTCAGTGAGACCTGATAACTGGCTAAATAAAAAAAAGATGGGGTGCAAATGTCTAGGCCCTTTGAAAATATTCAAACTTGAAGTTTTGAGGCATAGGGTTTAATTCCATGAGGTATACTACGTCTCTCAAATTACAGTTTTGTTGACAACAATTAAATTTCTAAACACCGATGGAGAGGCCAGAGGAAAGTATTTCTTTAATAATTTTGCTGCACCTCCCCCTGCAGTGACCCTCAGGGCTAATGGATGTTGCCATGGTCCCTGAGGTCCGGCGTGGGCAAGGAACCATGCGCGCAGGGGGAGAACAGCAAACTCCCTAAGATGCAGAGAAGCCGAATGCCTGCCAAGAGATAACGACCACCAGAAGCTGCCACAAAGATGATTAAAAGAAATGCTGACCACCTGGAACCTTATCTCGCTTTCTCAAGGCCCATAAACTTTATTCTGCTACAACTGTCTCTCTAAAATCTTTCCTTTTTCTGGTCATTGATTGCTAATTAAAAAACATACGTAATTTAATAATTAGGCTAATGCAAATGAAACATTACTAAACACTGTGTTATAATAGAATTGTTGGTTTAATAATCTTTCTATTATGTGCTTAACTTTAGTACCTTTGATATTAACTACATTATAATATAAATTTACCTATGACAATTAATTATGAGTAAACATAAGTAGATAATAGTAGTAGTAATTAGTACAAGAATATAGAAAGAGTTAATAACCTGTCTACTTAGGAATGCAGCTAGGTCCAGATGTATTTTGGACATAAATCACTGCCCTGTCAATGATAAGCTAAACCTATGAACAAACTGATTTCTTTGATGTTCACTGTTCCTATGCCTTTAGAAAAAACAAATATATACTGACCACTAACAAAAATAAAGTTACACTCAGATTTACACTCTCTCTTGAAGTGTGTCTGTTTGTCATTTCTTTAACCGAATCCCTGACCACCTTGCGCAGTCTCTCAACCCTGAGACGGCCTCATTGCCTACTGCTGTGCTGGTCCGCGGCAGGTGGCGCCCGAACGTGGGGCCCGATTTCAAATTTTGCTGAGTTGTCCACCTAAAGAAAGAGGTGAGTAACGAAGAGGTTGCGTTGGGTAAGCTATCTCCTTCTTAGTGTGTATGAGTGAATTTTTTCCCTTAAAAATACCCTCTTTTAAAAGTCAGGGATAGGATCCTCACTGGAGCGTCCGGAGCTCGCTGATAAAGGGTGATCAGTTTGAGACAGTGAGAAGTTCTTCTAAGTGTAAATATTCTCGTGGTGCTGAGTTTGTGAGAGAGTGCATGAATACGGCTCCACGGCCTTAGGGCTACGGAGTCTGAGTGGGCTGCACCCGCGGTTCCCGTGGAGGACGTCATAAGGCATAACGGTCATCTGCTCCTTGGAGCAGCCTGGTCCGGGGTTTATACGGACAGACCTTAGCTAAGACGCCTCCGCAAGTTCCCGCGAGGGACACGGGCCGGACAGCACAGTTGAAATAAAGATCTTGGGTGAGTGAACAAAGCACCACGAGGCCATGGGTCAAGCACAGACCAAAAACAGAGATCTTTTTCTTTCTATACTGAAAAATATGATTGAAACACGTGGTATTAAAGTAAATAAAAAAGCTTTGTTGCAACTTTATGAATTTATAATATGGGTATGCCCATGGTTTCCAGAAGAAGACAGTTTATCACTAGAAACCTGGAAAAAAGTAGGAAAAGAAGTACAAGAATTCTATGCCCTTTGTGGCCTATTACTAATTCCTCATCTACTTTAATTGGTTTAGGCATGGCAAACAATGTAGCTCAAAGCTCTCAGCTTTTACATTGGCAAATGAATGAGCATTCTGGTTTCTTTCAGCCATATGTGATTCCTTCCTTGCCCTTTTCATTATGGGGCCGTGACAAAATGGAATCCATGGGGTTAACTCTCACCACTCCTGATTTAATTGATGAACAGGCTTTTTCTTAGGGGCCATTGCGGAAAATTTATTTGCTGATAAAATTGCTTGGAAAAACAATGATCCTGTCTGGATACCTCAGTGGCCCCTTACATCTGACAAAATCCAGACTATACATGACATTGTCTCTGACCAATTACAAAAAGGGCATTTAGAGCCCTCTAACAGTCCGTGGAATACTCCTGTCTTTGTAATTAAAAAGAAGTCAGGAAAATGGAGACTTCTTCAAGATCTCCGCTCAATTAATGACACTATGCATGACATGGGAGCGCTTCAACCTGGACTCCCCTCCTCTGTAGCTGTTCCAAAACAAAATCATATTATAATTATTGATCTGCAGGACTGTTTTTTCACTATTAAACTTCACCCTGATGATTCTCCTAGGTTTGCCTTCAGTGTTCCCTCTGCAAATTTTCACCAATCCTGGCAACAATTTCAATGGAAAGTCCTGCCTCAAGGCATGAAAAATTCTCCTACTTTATGTCAAAAATTTGTTGATCAGGCTTTACAAGCTACCAGACATAAATTTCCTGATGCATATATCATTCATTACATGGATGACATTCTCCTGAGCCACTCCTCTAAGGAAGGTGTGGAGACGCTTTTACAATGTTTAATTACTGACCTGACCTCCTTTGGTCTTGTCATTGCTCCTGACAAAATTCAGCGTGATCGACCACTTAACTATCTGGGAAAAACCATTCATGATGATTTCATCATGACTCAAAATCTTCAAATCCGCCTTGATAAACTTTCCACATTAAATGATTTTCAAAAGTTACTTGGAAACATTAATTGGATTCGTCCTTATCTTAAAATTACTACAGGTGATTTACACCCTCTTTTCCAGATATTACAGGGAGATCCTAACCCTAAATCACCTCGGTCCTTGACACCCGAGGCTCTCTCAAAACTGCACCTGGTTGAACAAAAACTTTCTGAAGCTAAAGTTTCTCAAATTGATTATTCATCACCATGGGAATTACTTATTTGGCACACAATCAAACAAAAATGGTCACATCTTATACATCTATGTGTGCATTTCTCATAATGAAAGGGCTGACACGTTCTAAAGAATTGTTTGCCAGGCTTCCTGCCACTATTACTGTCCCATATACTAGAACACAGTTTGAATTTCTGCTTCAAAATGATGATGACTGGGGCATAGCCTTGCTCAATTTTCCTGGTCAGGTCAAATTCCACCTGCCACAGCACCCTATTTTAAAATTTGCGATGGAAACTGCTTTTACTTTTCCAAAAATTGTTTCCTCGCAGCCTCTGCCCGGAGCTGCCATTGTTTTTACTGACGGTTCCTCCTCTGGAATTTCGGCAGTATATCATCCTGATCAACCTCCTATACAGCGTTTCTCTAAAGGAATTTCTGCTCTCCCGCCCAGCCACCACTCTTTTTCCAGTCGTTACTAAACCTACAACTGCATCACATAAAAATCTTGTTCATGAAAGTTCCCTTAAATGCTTCCCCGTGGCACTAGATCAAGGGTCTGAATTAGAGAAAATAAATAAAAAACTCAAAAACTTATGGCTGTCTGTATCCCTAAATAACATCAAAGAGGACTCAGCTGACAGCCCCATATTAATAAAACAATTGCCTGAACAAATAGGTCGTTTTTGCCTGGCTGGAGGCAAAATGAAAGATGCAAAACAAAAGGTAAAAGAAAAAATAGCCTGCAGTATTAGAAAAAGTGATCAGGATTATTGGGATAGTGAAATTGTTTTTCAAAAGCCAAAAGTTAATTCTAGAGCCAATACTGACCTCTTTGCAGAGGCATCGGCTCCCAATTATGAGACCATTCCAAAATCCAGCCCAAATTTCCAGCTCGAACTTGGCTAAAATTGTTGAAATAAAAATAAAAACTCAAAAACAAATAAGAGATAATGTGTCATAATCTTAAATCAAACAAACAAACAAACAAACAAACAAAAAAATGCTCCAATCTTTTCCTGTTAATTATTTGGGGAGGAGGCTAGGTTCCCCTTGGTGGAGTTTTGCCATTTGTTTCTTTAAAAATAAATAAATAGATAAATAAGGCATTTATAAATAATAGTATTCAAAGTTCATTCACAATTGTTAAAGTGATAAAAAATGGTTAAATATGAGTGTATGAGACTATATGACTATAATATGAATAAAAAGTTTTTATTAAAATAGTATAAACCCACTGCAGTGGGCTGGTGGGGGCTGCCCTTGATCTCAACAAGCAGCTGCCTGGACTTTTTCTCCAGTGTTGGGATCACTGACAGGTCTCTACTACCTTCCTGCTGTGGGGAACTAAACTTTTCTATTATCCACCTTAAATAACTATTTTGGTTCATTCTACCAAAAAGTTCCATTTCCCTGTGTTTCTCTGATTTTAAAATCTACATTGTCTTAGGCAAAAACTGCTGAGTTACTTTTGACCTGCTAACAAGCTATACAGAATGCTTATTGGTTGAATAAAAACTTTTAATTTTACTTATGGGACCTGTAAAACATTAAGTTTCTTGTTAAAACAAACTAACCTGGTAAAATATAAAGTGATAATACAAACATTTTTGAGCTAAATTCTAAACCTCAAATTTTACAGGCAGACTGTAAAAATTTACCTCTTCTCCTGTTCTCTAGATAACAGTGTTCTTTTATGTTTTAAAATATGACTGTTCCCAGTGACATAATGTGTTAACAAACTAAAGCCAAAGAATCATTTCTTAAAAAAGTAAACTCCAAAAATATTTTCTTATCAAAAAAGTTAGTAAAAACTGCCGTGACTGCTGTGGTCTCGAGCCCAAGGTCTTTGGTAATAATTAAGATTAGACACTTATTCTGTGTACAGATTTTAGCTGTCAACTCATTAAAAACCTCAGTATCTTCACACATATTGATAAAATAACCATGTTTCAAAATATATGCACATGGCCAAAATTTTAAATGTATATCAAGAGATCTCTGTTTCTGTTTGTCTTTCTTTGTGTTTGTTTTGTTTTTTTACCTCCGGAGGACTAATTATAGATGGCGCCTTTATAAATTATCACAAACAAATCTTGACATCTTGATCAAACAATTTTTTAATAAACAAAAACTAGTTTAAATTTTATAATATAATTCAAAGCATATATGCCTTAAAGTTATGTTAAGTATTGATACTTTGTTTAAATGTGTTTATTTCAAAAGAAATTTCTGGTATAAAAGGTACTTTTGTCTTTCCTACTGAGTCACATGTATGTGAAAAATGTACATAGTATCTATATGATGCTCTGATTTCTTTTTGTTTTTATTGATTTGCCTAATTGCTTCTTTATTAGCCAGCCTAGAAAAACCTAGGTATGTGCCATTATGTTATTAACAGCCATGCAAAATGGAATTCCAGTCATAACAGAAACTAAAGCTACAACTAAACTTTCAGGTTTACTTTTTGCAACTATTTATAAAAGCTAAAAATTCTAATGTCATATTACCTTCTGTGTTCACATTTAAGTCATCTAGTTCAAAGAGATGACAGTATTATAATATATTATAATGCCTTACTGCTAATGAAAGATGTGACAATCCTAAATCAATGTAATGTGAAATGTGTGTTTAAAAAAAAATGTATTAAAAATAGATATTTTAATGGTCTTAAAAGTAAAGTGATAAGTGTTAAAACAAATATTAAAGGTCTAAAAGAATTAAAAGTAACAAAGCTAAGTAAAGTGTTGAACATCTGAAAAAGAAATTTTAGGAAAACAAATTTTGTATACTCAAATGATTTATATTATTTTAGTGTTTTGGGAACACATTAGCTGAAATAATTTTTGGTTAATAGTAACTGAGTTATAATCTAATGGGTTGTTTCAAAACATGTACTTATACACTAGCATTGGGTATAATCTTGGCCCTTGTCTAGGTTAATAATGTTGGACATAATGTCTTTTAGTGTCTGAAGAACTAAGGTTTTTGAGATGACAATTAAAGGTTATGATTTAATTGTTAATATTATCACTTAGGGCTAGAATTTTTATAGAGATTAAATATGGTTGTTTTTGCTGTTTTCTAGTATTTATGACACAGCTTCCCAAACATTTAATTAAAGTAAAATTTGGTAGCCTGTCATTTAATCAATTAAAGGAAATTTTGTGGAACCTCAGCAAAGCTTTAGAGACACTCCACAAACTTTCTCCCTTTCCTCCTGGGAAGGACATTAGATAAATTTATCCTATCTGGTTTACTTGGTAAAGTTACACTACAAGGGAATCACTGTCACTTGGGACAATGGTAAAACTCTAATAGGTACAAAAATGTTAACATTGGCTTTCTTAAAAAAAATCTTTCAATACCTGATATGTATGTAAATTGTCAATGATTATTGTTGCCTTGCAATATTATATACTTCAATGGTTTAATGTCTGCAGGACTTGTTTCTACACACACACACACACACACAAAAAAAAAAGATTGATTCAAAATGATAAACTTTTGAGAGTAAAAATTTTTTCTACAAAGGACTGTATAGACTGTTGGAAATACACCTGATTTTTACTGTTTTGTTTGGCATAACATTGAAAATGTTTTTACATTTTGCCTTGATTCAACAAAGTTTTCTTGTTTTGACTAACCAGACTCTACAGCAATGTTATATATATATATATATATTTTTTTTTTTTTTTCTAACAGAGCTAACCTTTTGTGTGACTTTGAGTACAATTCTTCCAGGGAGTTGACATAGAGCTAAACTAAAATGTGGAGAAACTGCTGCTTTGTTCGTAGGGTTCCAGAGACCTCTGAAAATGATGAGGAAGCTTGCCTCCATTGGCAGGACTAAATAACCCAGTTCCCTGAACAGAAAGCTCTGTCATAAAGCCTGAACTCTTTCGTCTTTTCACTGCCATTAATGATGTACACTTCAAACAACCTGGACAGGACACCGATAAGATCCCAGTGCGTGCCTACGTTGGATACCCCTTCGTTATACTTCTGGGGAATGCCTCAGCTGCATGCATTCAATTGCGTGGGTCTTCTTACTCCATTCATTGTTCTGGCTGCATTGTTACTAATTGTATTGTCCCCTCTCTTGCTCGTTTGTATCCTGTTGTAATCTTACTTAAAAAAAAAAAAACCCCTATGTTATGTTACCTGTTGATTTACATGATATACCTTGGTATGATAATACTGCCATGCAAATTTTAGATGAAGTACATGCCCTTCTTCGTCCTAAACGTTTTATTGCCACCCTTATTCTAGGAATTGCTGCTCTAATTTCCCTGGTTACCTCCTTAGCTACTTCCTCTGTTGCTTTAGTTCAGGAAGCTAAGACAGCTTCTTTTGTAAATGACCTTACCAAAAACGTGTCCATGGCGCTGTCTACACAGCGGGACATTGACTATAAGTTAGAAAGAAAGTTAAATGCTCTGGAAGAAATTGTTATTGCTATTAGTGATGAGGTTCAACTTCTCAAACAACAACTGTCTACTCGTTGCCACGTTCAGTTTCGTTTCATTTGTGTTACACCTTTACGTTATAATTCTTCCCTGCATTGGAATCTTACTAAATACCACCTATTGGGCATCTGGCATGACAATGACCTTTCTCATGATCTCTCGTCCCTTCAATCTGAAATCTCTGCTATCAGTAAATCTCATCTGGATACTTCAGTCTCTTCCTTTGCCCATTCTCTGGCTTCCACTCTCCAATCTTTAACTCCTGCTCACTGGTATCATCTTCTTTTCTCCTTCCTTATTCTTTCCCTATTTGTCCTGCTCCTTTGTTTGTTTATTCCCCTCTGTGTCCGCTCACTTCACAGGTCCATCTACCGCATCCAGTGTGACATGTATGCTTACCAACTTCGTTCTAAAATCAAAGGGGGACCTGCTGCACCTCCCCCTGCAGTGACCCTCAGGGCTAATAATGGCTGTTGCCATGGTCCCTGAGGTCCGGCGTGGGCAAGGAACCATGCGCGCAGGGGGAGAACAGCAAACTCCCTAAGATGCAGAGAAGCCGAATGCCTGCCAAGAGATAACGACCACCAGAAGCTGCCACAAAGATGATTAAAAGAAATGCTGACCACCTGGAACCTTATCTCGCTTTCTCAAGGCCCATAAACTTTATTCTGCTACAACTGTCTCTCTAAAATCTTTCCTTTTTCTGGTCATTGATTGCTAATTAAAAAACATACGTAATTTAATAATTAGGCTAATGCAAATGAAACATTACTAAACACTGTGTTATAATAGAATTGTTGGTTTAATAATCTTTCTATTATGTGCTTAACTTTAGTACCTTTGATATTAACTACATTATAATATAAATTTACCTATGACAATTAATTATGAGTAAACATAAGTAGATAATAGTAGTAGTAATTAGTACAAGAATATAGAAAGAGTTAATAACCTGTCTACTTAGGAATGCAGCTAGGTCCAGATGTATTTTGGACATAAATCACTGCCCTGTCAATGATAAGCTAAACCTATGAACAAACTGATTTCTTTGATGTTCACTGTTCCTATGCCTTTAGAAAAAACAAATATATACTGACCACTAACAAAAATAAAGTTACACTCAGATTTACACTCTCTCTTGAAGTGTGTCTGTTTGTCATTTCTTTAACCGAATCCCTGACCACCCTGCGCAGTCTCTCAACCCTGAGACGGCCTCATTGCCTACTGCTGTGCTGGTCCGCGGCAAATTTAGTGATCAAATTAAACAACCTGGTCCTAACTGAATCACAGTGAATGTTTAAACTTATTTCCAAAGTTATTTCAGTAGATTTTTATTTAAGATGACTCAGTTTGCTGTAGTTTAAAAGGAAATTCACATGAATTCCATGAGTTTGCCTGGAAGACAGAAAACAATTCACTATGGCCTGAAGAGGCCATTTATAAGTATCAAATACCCTTAATATCTAGAGCCTCAATCCCTCGCAATTTATATAGATTAATTAATCTTACTTTTTTTGTACTTTAGTAAGCAACTTTTAAAGGTACCTTTTCAATATCTGATTGGAGAAAAAAAGTAGGTTAATTTTCTGAAATTTTGAAAATATACAGTTATAAACCAAAAAAGAAGCTATTTTATAATAAACTTGTAGCTAGAAACTGCCAACATTTTTCTCTTTTTTCATCTATTCTTTCTGATATACATTCACACAATCTGGATTTAATGGAACCTTTTTAATGGTATTTTATCTCATATTATGATTTATGATGTGGTCCACATATTAAATTTTCAATACAATATTTTAAAATCTTCCAAATACAAGGTAAATAAGTTCTGGGGATACAATGTACAACATGGTGATAAAAAAAAAAAGAGATTGAATGCAACAAAAATATAAGTTGATGCTAATAAACAGATGATGATAAAAATATAACAGGATTTAAACTTTGTATTTCAAATAACATAGTCCCATAGAAATCAAAACATGTAAAAGAGCTTTAGAAGAAATTTCTTAAAAATCTAAATATGGTAAATAGGAGTAAGTAGGAACACATATTTACCTATGACAAAAGAAGATTCAAATTACACCATTAATATAATTGATAGACTAATAATACTATGCGGAGGATGATGTATTCTTATAATATAGCATATTTTTTAAAAGAAGCATTATTGAGGCCCAGTATTTACTAAAAAAAAATAAAATTCAAGTATTCCAGTTGTACTGTCTCACTACACATTTGGTTTGTTAATACTAAATCATTTTGAGATGCTAAGTTTATTTGCAATAACCTCCCAGCTTTTGGTGTTTAATTGTACTCTATCATGCATTTTATCGTTTCTACTATTTCTCAAGTTTACCGTGAAAGCAAACATTCATTCCTAAATAATTTGAAGCAATACAAAGATTTTTCTTTGTCAGAAGCATTGTGCAACAGACAATGAAATCCAGAGAATAATGCTTCATGGATTAACATGTCCTTAGTCTGACACACCTCTTTTTACTTAGAGCTCCAATGCTAAGGTGGTATTACAGAGAACTCTACTCTCCAAAATATTGGGAGAGAGTGAGTGGTTGAGTACCTGGGAAAAATGAACGGCTAGAGATAATCAGGCAACAAAACTCTTGAAGCTGGGGATGGACTGTAAAATTTCTGATAGGCGAAGTCTGGTTTTGATGAAGAACTGGTACTAGTAACAACACATGTTCCTCTTGCCTGGACCCACTGTTTTACCTCTAGACCTTCTTGTATTTTGGGAAAGTTGAAAGTTCTACTATTGAAATTTTCTGTTTTGGTTTCTATGCATGATATTCTAAGCTAATTGATACAGAAACCAAAAGCTATTCATAGTCCTCTACCAGATACACAGGATTCAGTGCTGGTATACTGGAGGCACATCACAAACACGCAAAGTGTTACTCGCCAACTCTTCTCCTATCCCCCCCTCAAAACACACACACACACACACACACACACACACACACACACACACACGGATTTTCTACAGGATATTGCAATAGCTGATGACAGTTGAAAAGTTTCCTAAAAGCAAAACTTGAAAGTAGTTTCCAAATGAAAGATGGCAAGTAAGTAAAAGCAAAACAAGAGAGTCAGAGGCTTAGAGAAAATACAATAGTATGCTGAACAATAAAGACATCTTTAGGGGAAAAAAAGTTACTAGTTGGAAAGATGTAAACACGAATATGATGAGCAGGAAACAGGGCCACGGTCATGGGCACATAACTTTCACGGTCACTCAGGCTCCATGTGTGCTTTAATGCTCTGCTGTCACTATTTGAAATTCTTAACAAAGTTTGAACAAGAAACCGCACATTTTCATTTTTCACTGAATTTCACAAATTATGTAGTTGTTCCTGGTAGAAAGGCTCTGCAGGATGTGGATGAATTATTTTCAGTCCCTTACATCTCTTCAGCTATTCTTCAGGAATATGGTGGCTACTGTGTTCACTGTAAATAGATAACATCTATTTATGTGTGTGTGTGGGGTGTACATACCTACAGAGCAATGTACACACCCTCCAGGAATCTATTCAGAGTTGGGAAACATAAAATGCCCCCATATTTCCCAAAATTTCAATACCTAGGAGTTGACAGAAAACATTTTGAATATACTTGCATTGTCTATTTCTATGATGTTTTCTCTAAAAGGTGAAGTAATTTATAAACACACCACATACACACTAACATGCATGTTTTAATCATTTTTCATTGGTCTCATACTTAAAATTAAATACTTTTATAACTATATATATGCACAACAATATAATCCAGCTAATATTTGACTTTCTCATTCACCACTCCAGTTTTTAATCTTACCTTTGGGAAACGAACTTCTGAGATTTAGAAAAACAAGAGAGAATGCTGAAAACGGGACTTTAATTAAGGTATAGTTCCCCTCCCCCCATGTTGATTGTAATACAAATGAAGTAGCAAATAGTCATATTTTATGAGATTCTGGTAACATTATTTAATTGTCTTAAAAATGGCCCTCATGTCTGGGTCATTCTAAGTGCCATTCTTAAACTAGGTCTCCACATGATGTGTGAGTCTCAAACTTACTTTTAACAGAATCATCTAGGAAACTCCTTTAGTCATGTTTTTTTGGAGACCCAAACTTGTTTTCCTCCAAGGCTGTCAGGAAACAGGGGTAGGTTTATAAATAGAAATAGTACAACAACTATTCACTGAAATAAATATATTGTGTGTCTTACAGCTTTATCATATAGCCTTTGTAACATTTCAAATGTGGGCCATTAGAGAATAAAGTCACTTTTTGTTTTAAGAAATGGAATGCCAATCAAAGTCCAACACCTTTTTTTGAGAAATGGATCCCTCTTTTCTTTTGTAAGTGTGGCTCTTACACCTCAACCATCATTCTCGGAACATCAGATTAAAATAATCTCTGGGCGTTATAAGTATGAAATCAGAGCCCAAACGTACATTAACAAAATGGGAATAGTCCATAGAAATATTTGGAGACACTGAAACACTAATCTTTTTTATTGATAAGTCAAGTAAATGGCTTTCTGCAGTAATTGTAGTTATGTTTTCAGTATTGCATTGTAACACCAACTTTGAAACCTTTGTTTCAAAGGTCCTGAATTTGTTTCTTTTTAATAAGCTACAGATTCAACAGATAGAGTGTTTGGCTGGTTTTGAAAAGAAATACTCTGCAGGGTATATATTGATCGATATATAAAGATAGGATGGGCTCTTGCTGTACATCAAGGATTTTGCTATATTCTATGCATTGATCATTTCATTCAACTTTTGCAAACTTCTTGAGAGGCAGCTATTAATTTTTATGCCAGTTTTAGAAGTGAGGCGCTCAGAGTAAGGAACACAAAAAACTTGAACAAGCATATTTAACCATCAAGTTTTGGAGTTGGATTTGAATAGTATAGTAATCTGAAAGCATAGTCTCTTTTCTTAATGACTGTAGCTAAGGTTTGCTTAATCTTTATCAATTTCCTCCAAAACTAATGTCTAGCATAACTACAGTGCATTATCAAAACTAGTAACAATGGCATGACGCTATCAACTAGTCTATAGAATTTATTCAGATTTTATACATTTTTCATGCACGTATGTGTTATATTGTGCTTGTGTGTGTAGTGCTATGAAATGTTGCCATGTGTTTACTTTTTTGGAAACATCACCAATTAACTTAATGTATCATTTACTGGGTGAATTATAGCTTGTACCTAGGAAATAACTCAGTCATGTGTAATCCAAGTCTGGAAATAAATTAGAGAAAACCCTCGTTTTCAGGAGCCACTCTGAATAGGCTGAAATGGCTTGATCTTCACAAAGAAAAGGATCTACAGAAATGAGTCAAACATAGTACTTTGAGAAGGTGTGGTAGATGGGAAGGTTCTCAGGGAAACTGAGATTAAAGGAAAAGTCCAAGGAGATTGACGTAGCATTCAAAGTGGGCACCAATTCAATGAGTGGAAATTTCCAGAATATAGTTGATGGTATTGAGATCATAAATCGTAAGCTATATCAATATGCAGGTGACTTCTGTATGTTTTTCTTTCTAGTTACTATGCAAAATGAATGTAAATGGAAAGAACTAGCTGAAAGGAGTAGAATTGTGATGGACAAAGTTATGCAATGGATAGATAATGTGTTTCAAAACCTGATTTTGACATCTTTCCTTTATTACAGAGTCTAATCTCTGTTTTACACACTAAGTTCCTTGATGATGTCACTGACTCCTGTTTCTGCCAAGTTGTTGTTAGGTTTTGATGCTGTTTTCCAAGGTCAGACCGGGCAAGTTGGAGAACAGTAGTTGGCAATGATAGTAAACTTTCTCAGCAATGAAAGGTGTGTTTATGCATTGCAGGGCAAAGCGTTTGTCAGAAAAATCTAGTCACTTCAGATGAAAAAGCAAAACAAAAAACTCCCCACAAAAAATGTCAAGCATTTGGGCGGGCCTCCCCTAGTGGTGCAGTGAGTTGAGCGCTGTGCTGTGAAGTTGTCCTCGGTAGGATCCCACAGGGCGGCAGACCTCTCCTGTCTCGCCCACTGCTCCCCTCAGCAGTGTATTTCTGTCATCTGCCTGTTCTGTTCCCCGCTCTGTCTCTGGTGAATCCTCTCACCCCTCCACCTCTGACCTGAACCCCAGCTCTTGTATAAAAATAAATAAATAAATAAATAAAAGAAATTTCACAAATTAAAAAAAATAATTCAAGCATTTTTATTGTTCTTTCTGCATCTGGAATACTTTTTCTGCAACCTCACCCTTTTAAAACCTGAATTTTTTCAATTAAACATTACTACACTTACTTAATGGCCAATCCCCACCACACTTCATAGTTATTAAACAGAAGCTCTTTTAGGGCATGCATTTTGTGTTAATCCTATT